ATAGATATATATATAGATATATATATAGATATAGATATATATATATAGATATATAGATATAGATATATAGATATAGATATAGATATATAGATATAGATATATATAGATATATATATAGATATATATATATCAGCGCGCATTCCAGAGAGAGCTAGTTGAATGTTGAACCCTGATGCTTTTTCTTTTCCTTCACTTGCAGTAAGAGGTAAAAAAGTCAGAGAAAATGAGTTGATTGAAGATGGAGGAGAAAAATTTTGAATATGTTAGAAGATGTGAAGAGCTAGCAGTCCAGCTTGAACTGATGAAACAGCTGACATGGTTGATCAAATTAGAATTTGAGAGATCCAACAGTGATCATTTCTGTCTCCCATCAGTGCCATGCTGCAGAACATTCACCCCAAAAAATACTACTTTTAAACATTTCCAGGAAACATAATTATTAATTGTCATTTCCCCTTCCTTTCAGATGCAAGTGGCTTTTGCACAGTCGGTGTTTGGATGTAAAATCTTCAATGAACCTGTTGCATTAACACCAAAATATCTCCGCAACTATGCAATACGTATTAGCATTGTAGTTCTCATTTATGTAGTAACAACACGGGCACTGTGGGTACTTTGAACCCACAGAGTTAATTTCCAAATGTAAAAATATAGGCTAATTGTTGTTCCTAGCCCTGGTATGAAAATAAAAAAAAGTGTATCCTCTTTCTTTGTAATGTACATATATACACCTTTGAAGAAAGCCAGTAGTTTTGTCCCGCCCACAGAGTTTATGGCAAATCAGCTTTCGGCAATCATCAACGTATGACTTCCTGTTCAGAGACGGGTCGCTAGGAGGCGTCTCGGGATATCCAGCCACTTTCCGTGAGGAAGGTGAGGATGCGCTTCTTGAGGACCTTGTCCAGGTAGCTGGGCAGCCGGCTCTTGGCCGGGATGCCTTGCCTTTTCTGCAGGTTGTCTTTGATGATGATGGTTTTGACAGTCAGGTATCGTGCTGGGCTGAGGTTCAGAGAGTTACACAGCACCTTCTCCCTGTCTGACAGCAGCTCAAAGCCCGCCAGATTCTCGATGGCGGCAAACTCACCATCTTTGCCCTCTTCTTTGACCCCACCTCCAACCCCCAACCCTCCAGCAAGGCCTCCCCCCCCTCCAGCTCCACCCCCGAGTCCCATCCCAGAGCCGAGCCCACCTCCTCCTGCACTACCCCGTTTGGAGGTGACCACACTTTTGTTCTCCTTGCGTTTCTCCCGTTTGTGGCGTGCTGATTCATATTCAGTAGACTCCTCCAAGCGGGTGATGCCGTTGCGGCGGAAGCGTTGCAGCTCACGCACCTTGGCCCTCAGCACGCGCTCTTTATGCATGTTCTCAAAGAAGTCTTCAAACTCACGATGGGCCATGAACTGGCAGAGCCCCCGCAGTCTGACCCGTTGCTCCTTCTCTTCCTTGGTGATCTTTCTTTTGGGTGTACTGGGAACAGGACCTGATCCTGCTGCTGTTGTAGAACCTGATCCAATTGTGCCACCGCCAGCTCCTGCCCCCCCCACACCACCAGCAGTGCCTATGACTCCCAGCGCTCCTGGCTTCTCCTTCTCCTTCTTGTCTCGGCCCAGGAACGCAGGCACCAGGTTGTAGTCTCGGGCGATGTTCTTACGTCGCTGGCGCTCTCTGAGCTTCCGCACATACATGTCCACGTGGGCACGTTTCATTTCAATTTCCACATCCTCGTCGTCGTAGTTCACAGACAGCCCGCTGATGAGCTTCTCTGCGTCCTGGTCATATTCAATCTCATAGTCGTCACGTAGCGGCATGTAGCCCAGCTGCTGCTGCTCGGCCAGGCTGATATCCAGCGGAGGGAGCGGGGTGGTGAGGCTCGGCGACAGGGGTCCTCCGCTTGGGCAGGTGTGGTCCGTCACTCGGTTGGGAATGCTGTCAGGGATGCAGGCTTTACCCAGGTTTCCGTGGATGTACATGGTGACGTAGTGCTCCATGACTTCCTGAGGAGTTCGGGATGCTCCAACGTGAGCGGCCATGTCCTCCTGAAAAACAGCAAAAACAGCAAGTTGTTACTAACGAGCATCGAGGAAGAAATATGCTGTGTCCATTATTTTCCTGAAAATTCCCAAGTAAGTTTTCAGGAAAGAACTATGTAATTTAATACCAACAATGTGGAATGTAAAGACAGTATTCAGTTGAAATACTTGAACAACTCATGAATTGGTAATGTAACCTAGAGAGCGTCAAGACAAAGTTTACAATCATAAATTATTCGACTCTTCAATGGGGAACCTTCATTTGAGCTTATGGAATGTTGTTGTAAATACTTTTGATATTTAGCATATTTCAATATGCGAATATTCAAACCTTTAATTTTAAACAATTAGCAAGGTATTTGGATATTTGTGGAACATTTTTGTGTATTTTAATGTTTCATTTATATTATTTAGTTATATTTGAATCTTTTTTAGTTAATTTGCTGTGAGCTTGCAAGAATGGGTTCACTTAGTAAGTGCAATATTAGTTATTTCCCCAAAAAACTAGTTTTTCTGTAGTTGCACACCTGTAAAGTAAAGCATTAGTGACAATGTGTCTCAACATTTTTTAATTAATAAGAAAAATAATTATGATATAACAGATTCATCAAGAATTAAATATTTGTAGTTGCAACACTGAACATGACTCATCATGGGATATGTAATAAATAAAATACATAAAGTTTACATGTGATATATGTTGTGAATTGAATGAATAGTGAGTTTTACTTGGTGTGTGATATCTAAAAAGCAAAAGGTTACAACTACGTCACCGACCTGCAATATAAAATAAGTTATAGTTTAGTTGAGTTCTTTGTTAAACATTTGGGTTTGTTGCTATCAGTTACATTGTTCTAATTCTACTATATTTTGTTCCTCCTGGTGGGTATGTGCTGCAGCTTTCCCATGTAAATAATACATATCTATCTAAAGTTATAGTTATGTTACTAACTTACTCTCGACCTCCAATCCTCCACGAGACACATCTGGGCCTTTAATAGAACCCTGAACATGTAGATTTAGAACATTCTTATGTTTATGATGGAACATTTACGACAGAACGAAGAGAACACGGACTGTCCTAAAGGTCATGAACGTTACTGTAACATCACCGCTACTAGCCAGGGACATTCTACTTGTACTTTGAACACAACTCTTGTGAACGTATCTGGTGAGTTGTGGAGGGAAATTAAGTGAAGTAACTTAAAAAGTGATGTACCCAGTTTCCAAATCCATATTGCTCGATAGCATCGAGCAGCGACTGCTCTTCCCTGCTGGTCCATCCTCCCGCTGCCTCGGGACCCCAGAGGGAGAACCGGCCGCCGTCGACCTGCTGGTAGCCGTGCCATCTCCGGTGATTACCGATTTCTGCGCCCGCCGAGAAACACTCCGGACACAGCTCGATATCGGGGCAATCGGTGCAGCGAAGCCGCAGGTTTGTAACATCTGCTAGGCAGTTAACGCAGTACTTCTTCCCCAGGTCGGCCATGTTGCCTGGCTCCTGCTTCTTGTTGTTGGAGGCAGAACTGCGCGCCTGCGCACAACGAGCTTCGCAGCGCGACCTGCTAACATCCTGGTTGTTAATATTAATGAGTAAGGGCGCCTCTGATTGGATCCCGATCCCAGTTTCCAGGACAACCGAAACAAAACGAACCGTGTCATTGACTTCGGAAGTGCACGAGCCCTATAGCTATAGAGAAATTGAATAATACTTTTGGATATTCTTTTTTTTATTGAAAATGGATGGAGGGACAGAAAATGAGGTGAAGAATGATGGGATGCTGCCAGCAGATGCCTCCAACGAGGAGCTAAATGGAAATGTAAAGGAAGGTGTTCCAGCTGAAATGGTTGCATCGGATCCTGATGAAGAGTACTCTGGAAGCACTAAAGGGGCCCCTGTTGAAGAAGAGGCCTCAAGTGAACCAGAAGAGAACAGTGGAAACAAGTTCCTGGGTGTTGATTACATCACAAGTGAAGACTTGGCTGTGAAGAAGCATGAAGTCAAGGAACAGCCAATATCCCACGAGGAGAGTGTTGTTTTTGAAATAGACAGCATTAATGACAATGGACCTCCCACACTGCATCTCAAGAGCCTGGACGGCCAGAACACCAGTCAGGAGGAAGACGAGGCCGAAGAAGACAAATCCACTGCTGCCCCTGCAGCTGGAGGACACATCAGCCATGAAGAGTCCACGCAGCTCCTCCAGGAGCTCCTCCAATACCGGGATGAAGCCCTCCAACAGCACAGCCTGCTGCAGATGAAGCTGGCAGAGTTCTTCCACAAGAAGGCCGGGGACAACGCCCAGCTGGACAGGGATATACCGGTGACAGAGCAGCTGCAGCAGTATGAGAAGTACATTAGCATCCTGACTGACCTGAAGCAGCAGCTCGCCGCTGATTCAGAGACAGCTCAGCAGCAGGCGGAGGAGCTGAGGTTAAAGTCCCAAGAGAAGCTGAACAAGGTCGGTCTCATTTTCAGGGCCTGTGCAGGCTTTCGACATTGTTCTGAAACTTTGCCTGATATAATGGTATAAGGTTAACTATTAGGAAAGTTTCTGTCAAAGTATGCAAAATGAAATAAAGAAATAAAACAGAGAAGCAGTAGAAGTGGAGAAAATGAATTTGGACGAATGTTAATAAAAGGCTTTTAGACGGTTTATTTGTCCCAATTTCCCCCTATAGTTCTACTATTGCATGTGAGAAAAGGTTGTGTACAACCTTAAGTGTATCCAGAGAGAGCTGTGTGAAGCAGTGCATAGAATAGGATAATACTAATACTAATGATATTAAAAGCAGTGATAATAAAACAAGTTCTGTACAAGTCAATAAATATAAAAAGAAAATAGAGAAATGTACAATTAAAAATAGTCAGTGTTATTGTTGAGACGGTTCTTGTGTGATTTTGGTGCTGCTGGACTGCAGGCTCCAGTCGAAAGGGAAGTGTTTTATATGTTGGGTCCACGAACTTCCCGGGATGATGTACTACTTTCTGTTAAAGTTCAAACGATTTGGTTATTTCACATGACAGATTTCTGTGTATCTGTTTCTGTCTCACTGGTTTGAAGTGGGCGGGGCTCGGTTGGAAAACGGTGAGGTCACATATTTCTGTGGAACAGTCAGAGTTTTGCCACATTTGAATCAAAACCTAAGTTGTGGGGTTGTCTACTTATATTAATGGCAATATCAATCAAATCTGAGCATACAACACCCACAGTTCTGATGTGTATAGTGTTAATAAATAGTAACCTGTATTAACTAACATGTATATTTAATATCACTTTGATTGCTTCTTATTAAATAAAGAATATTTAATGATGGAGAAATACTTAAGATGAAGAGTCTAAAATGGTCTCTATCCCTGCAGGGAAAATGAGTACAAGGGCTCTACACATGCTGCTCCACAGTGAGCTGGGTGGAGGTGACCGGCATACTGAACCATGCACACATTACTCTCAGCACTATGCCAACATTGGAATGATTTAGGAACAAACAAAGAAAGTTAGCAAAACACAACTGGAAAGCCTGGAATAAATAGTGTAATCTGAAACCATGGCGGGAGTGTACCCTTTTTAGAAAATTACAATTTAATGTATGACTGAACAAAAAACAAAATTGAGTTATCCAACATGTCTTTGAGCAACCAAATCAGAAGACATCTACAAGTGTCCAAGAAGTGTTGATTGCGTGTTCTGGTGTACTGATCAGAGGGTCCAAACTGTCTCATTTCCATCCTCAGGTGGAAAATGAATGGCGAGCGTTCGCAGCACTGAAGCAGGATGTAGCTGTGGCAGCACTGAGCGGATGCCTGGGTAAACAAGCCGCTCAGGCCAAAGTGGAGGCAACGGGGAAGCTGCTGCAGCATGAGCTGACCAAGCTGCGCCTCAAGCACATCAAGCTGAGGATCAAGATTCACAGGCTGGAGGCAGAGCTCCATGAGGAGGAAGAACATGCCAGGAACCCCCTACATCTGCAGTTTGAGCAGCTGCAGGCGGAGAGGCTGGAGCTGAAGAAACACACAGAAAAGCAAAATGAGGAATGTTCAAAGATGCAGAAAAAGATCATCAGCAGCTTGGAGGTAGGTTGACCAATCAAAAGGCACAGATTGCGTCAAACTAATTTCTGTAGTTGTTTCACAAAATATAAATTCTGGTAATAAGTAATTGAGTGAGCAGTGTTTCGTTTTTTTATCAGCTCCTGTCAAACGTGAGGGAGAAGCTGTTCTGGAGCCAGATGGAGGTCCAGGCCCAGCGAGAGCAGCTGGACAAGGTGGAGACCACGGTGGCCAGGAAGAGGGACCACCTGACCAGCACTAGGCAGGCACGCAACGGCCTGCTGAGAGACAACCTGAGGCTGAAGGAGCATTGTGGACTGCTTTGAAGGTTTGAGAACTTTGAGGAGACTTTGAGGTCACTGTGGACACTTCCAACCATCTGGAAGAACAACTGGAGGATCTGAAGGGCTGACAAGCTGGGACTGTGTTCAGTAATGGCAGACGGAAGAAGAAGCTGGAGAGAACTTCATGAATGAATGAGCGAATGACTGAATTTACATCTTAAAGTGCGATCAGACTACACAATATTAGCCTGAAATAAGTCAGGGCCATCAGGAACGTTAATGAGCATCAGGCCTTTTTGGATACTTTTATCTCTTGTAGTGTGTTTAACCAGATCAAATCCACTTAGAGGAAATCTCTTTAGCTAAGAAGGCAGCAGCGAGTTTAATGTTGAGACATCTTGATTTCATACATACAATAAAACAAAAATAAAACAATACATAACAGAGTAAAAATGTAATACCATGGATTTACACATAGTAGTAAAAACACAGATACATTGTGCATGTTTTTGATTAATATTAAGTAATTTTTAATGTAAAATGTTTCATTCTATATTTATGTTTCTTCTGTGTTAATTGTTATGCACCAAACAATAAAGGGAAATTACTTGTAAGATGTATGTGAAAAGAAACTTACTTTGCAACAAACCTGATTCCGACATCTCCCTCTTTTTCCCCCACAAATTCCTGACACTGGACCAAGGCAACCACAAGAGGGCACTGTTGCACTTTAATTCTCTTACATGAAGAGCTGAGTTTACCTGCCTGCATCACACGTATCCTGTGTTAACATTGCCCATGTAGTCACACAAGCAATCTTTTTTTTTTTATCAGTTATCTATTTTTCCAGTTGTTTTAACATCTGGTTAATAGTTTCGTTGACACATTTCACACATTATCTACAGACAAAACTCTTCAGAAGGTTCCCCTTATCAGAATCAGAATCAGAACCGTTTATTGCCATGGTATGTTGAACATACAAGGAATTTGACATGACGGGAGGTGCATAACATTTGACAACAATCAACAACAATCAACAGTGCAAAGTAGAAACATATTAAATTTACAGAAAATATAAAATAAAGTGGAATATAAAATAAAAAATAAAGTGCACAAACGAACAGATAACAGGACTATAAACCAGTGAGATGTAAGTGTAGTGTAAAAGTGTCGAGTGTAATAGAAGGGATGTGCAGGGGAGTGACCGGTAGGAATTTGTCCTGGGGATGACAGAGTCAGTGGGGGTCCCGGGCTCTGTTAATGAGCCCGACTGCCGACGGGAAGAAACTGTTCATGTGTCGTGAGGTCTTGGTCCTGATGGACCTCAGCCTCCTACCAGATGGAAGGGGCACAAACAGTTTGTGTCCAGGGTGAGAGGGGTCGGCTACAATCCTTCTTGCTCGCTTCAGGGTTCTTAAAGTGAACAAGTCCTGGAGGGACCGCAGATTGCAGCCAATCACCCTCTCGGCAGAGCGAATGATGCGCTGCAGCCTGCCCTTGTCCTTGGCTGTGGCTGCAGCGTACCAGACTGTGATGGAGGAGCAGAGGATAGACTCAATGATGGCTGTGTAGAAATGCACCATCATTGTCTTTGGCAGGTTGAATTTCTTCAGCTGCCTCAGCTGAGCCTTCTTTGTGATGGAGCTGATGTTAAGCTCCCACTTGGGGTCCTGGGATATGATGGAGCCCAGGAAGCGGAAGGACTCCACTGCGTCGACGGGGGAGTCACACAGAGTGATAGGGGCAGGCGGGGCTGCATTCTTCCTGTAATCCACAACCATCTCCACTGTCTTTAGAGCGTTGAGCTCTAAGTTGTTCAAACCGCACCAGGTCACCAGATGGTCAGTCTCACACCTGTAAGCGGACTCATCCCCACCAGAGATGAGTCCAATGAGGGTGATGTCATCCGCGAACTTCAGGAGCTTGACGGACTGGTGACTGGAGGTGCAGCTGTTGGTGGACAGGGAGAAGAGCAGAGGGGAAAGAACGCAGCCTTGGGGGGAACCGGTGCTGGTGGTCCGGGAGGCTGAGACATGCTTTCCCAGCTTGACGTGCTGCTTCCTGTCAGACAGGAAGTCTGTGATCCACTTGCAGGTGGAGTCGGGCATGTGCAGCTGAGAGAGCTTGTCGTGCAGCAGAGATGGGATGATGGTGTTGAAGATTCACTGACCATTCATTATGGAACTACATTTCAGAGCTATATTTTGTTTCTTTGTTAGAGACGTGCTCTCCACGTCCAGGTGACTCCACCACTCAGTGTCTTCTTCTTCAGTCTGTCCTGGTGCTGGAAAAACAATAAAACAAGCCATTATTGGGGGAAGAAAAAGCTCATAAACGTCTGTATTTCTTCAGGAAACTTAAAAAGAGGTAATTCCTGTGCTAATTTCTTGTCCACTTTTACATCGGAGTAATAGAGGGGAAACATTACAAACATGGGATGTACACAACACAGAACAGGAGGGCTCTGCAGCCGGTCATTAAAACCGCCCAGAACATCACTGGTACCCATCTACTGAGCATCAGTGATATTGATGACAAGAGGAGCCTGCAAAGATCCCACAGGATACTAAAAGACTAAACCCACCCATCCACAACCTGTTCACCCTGCTGCTGTCTGGAAAGAGATACTGAAGTATCAGCTGCTGAACCACCAGACTTCAGATCAGCTTCTTTCCTCAGGCTGGGATAATAAAGTTTTGCTTTCTGTCTTTTTTATGGTGCAAAATGGGACTACAAACTGCATTTCGTTGTGCAACCCTGTTGTACGATGACAATAAATGAACCCATGTAACCTTGTTGTGGCTGCTTTGCATTCTGCTCTATGTATCTAGTTTTGGTGTCCAGGATTTTAGTCACCTGTCTCTGATGTCTGTATCCGCCCCGATACAATGGCGGTGAATGGATAGTCCACAGAATACATGGCCAATAGTTTTCTTGGGAAATAGTCCCCATGGAAAGTGTCCACAGTGAGGTCTGTGGTCCATTCATCTCTATTGTATAGATGTCTCGTGTATGGATTTGTAGCATAGGCCTCCTCCAACAGGAATTCATGTGAAATGTGATAAAGCACATACGGCTTTATGATCTATCCATCACGTGTAATAGATGTTTCTACATGTGATATGTTAGAATTCAAATGTGAAATAATAAAAATACAAAATCCCACAAATGTGAATAACTACTCACTATCACAGAAGGAAATCTATTGAATGTCTGTTTTCGTACAGATTTCTTTTAAAATAAACTGTCGGTCTGTAATAACCCACGTGCTTTATCACACATTAACGTGTAATATGGGTTTCACATGCGTTATATTCAACCTGACTATGTCTCTGGAACAGACTATCAAGGTATTGTTCAGCCTACTTGAAATGACTGCTCTTTTGAGAAGACATGGTCCATTACGTAGCTGCTCTGGAGTTTGCCCACTTGTCTGGAAATGTACCCGTTCCGATTACAGTATGTCCAAGGAGTGCCTCAACTCAGTTGATAAGCCTCAATGGACCAGAAGTCCTTAAAGCGCTCCGTCATGAGCTGGCTCACGGTTCAGAGGAGGGAGAACACAGACAAAAGTTGGAGGTCAAAAATAATATACTAAATAGGGTTATTTACAAAACAAATGAATGAGATGTGAACAATCAGTAACATCTGTGATGTCTGAAACCGTGGGAGAGCTGAGAGAGGCAGAGGCAGCCTGTCCAGTTTTAAAGGATCATAACCCAGGTGAGCCGGCTCAGTAAAGACCTGTACCACCAGACAGGTAAAGTAGGCACTTTCATTTTATTTTAACGGATATTCATCACAACCCCACCAATAAAGCACACACAGTCATTTGTCGGGAAGTTTATTGATATATATATACAAGCATGTCTGTCACCGAGGCGGAGACTGTCTGAGATATACAACAGAGTATAAAATATATAAGGTGCAAAAAAACACAGAAGCATGAGTC